CAGCGCGGCAGCAGTCATGAGCACTGCCCACTCCTCCAGTGCAGTGCTGGAGGGTCTCAGCTGGACTCCAGACCCCAGCGTCCTTAGACAAGACCACTCAGAGGGACTAGGAGGGACAGAAGGGAGCTCAGGGCCACTCCATCGGGGGTAAGACAGGAGTGCCGGAGAGAAAGCCGAGGGCTGAGAGGAAGGGCAGGCACAGGCTTTCAGGAGACCAGGGGCACAGGCCAAGGGACACTCGCATGTGGGGGGCAGAGTTAGGGGAGGTAGCAACGTCAGGTGAAGACCCACCAGGTGTGCCACCAGGAGCCGCTCCAGCTCTCCCTGACAGCAGCGCCAGAGGCCCACGTGCCGGCGTGGGGTAGGCACGTTGGGCCCCAGCCCTCTGGGGTTGGTGAAACCACATGGTGGAGAAGACCCCACGGAGCCAAGCTGCAGCTCAAAGAACAGGAGAGACTTTGCTTGCTATCTACCACATGAAAGAGGGAGTTTTGACCTTGTGCAGCCAATATCCCCTGCCCTAAGAAAAACACCCTGCAGGAGAACCAAGCAGGGCCCACAGCGTCGGCCCCTTGTCACGTGTAAGGAGTCCACCTGCAATCACTGAGCAAAACAGGAAAGCTCAAGAGAAAAGCAGGCTCCGTCCAGGGACACTGAGCCAGACCACCCAGCTGCTGAAGGTAGCAGGCCAGGGCTGGAAAGCGGTGATCACCACCACGCTCAAGAACCTAGAAAATTTAAAAAGTGTAACAATAAAGAAATGGATAGGAAACGGCTCAGCCTGGCACGTGTGAAGCACTGGGTGTGATCCTCAGCACCACATAGAAACAAACAAACACAAAATAAAGGGAAAAAGAGTTTAAGAAAGAAAAAGACAGGAATCTCAGCAGAGGAAACAAAGCTCCATGAAAAGCACCCAACAGAAGCTCTAGACTGAACGGCACAGCAGCCGGCGTGACCCCACCAGCAGGCCGCACGAGAAAACAGCACCGCGCCTCCAGGGTGGACGGGCTGGGAAGGCGGCAGGCCGCAGGGTCTAAGAGACGCCGCCAGCTCCTCAGGCCTGGAACCGGAGCCTCGGTGAAGAGGGGAGCCAAGCGAGCGAGCAGGATTTCAGGATGGCTGAAAGCTGCCCCAAAGTCAGTGGGAGACAAGAAGGAATGACGACAAGAACACCCTCTGGCGATGCTGGAGGCAAGCCAGACCGGGACGCGGCAGCGGCCAGGGAAAGAGCACGTGGCCGTCACCACCGAGGCGGAGGAGAGGGGGACACCCACGGGAGGTCTTTGACTCTCCACCCATCATCTCGCCCTGGGCCCAAACGAAGTCACAGAACAGAGACCATCTTAAGTAGGTGAGCACTGGAGGGCCAGGCCAGCCAGCTGCAGGGACAACAGAGCCCCAGCGCCAGGAGGCGGAGGGCGGCCCAGCAGTGGGCAGACCTGCACCTTCTCCTGGTGCACGGAGCTCTAGCGCTGCACCACACAGCTGCGGCCCCGAGGGCAGGCCACGCCTGGCGCCCTGGGCCCATCTGTACAGCCTGGGCAGCTGGAGATGTGCACCGTGCCCGGCCAGCACAGCTGGGCCTCGCGAGGACCCGTCTGCTCCATGGAAGAGCCCAAGTGTGAGGTGAGGTGGCCTCATCCCTGTGCCTCTATTCACATTTTCCTTAGGGAAGCTGAGGAAGCAGTCACTCAAAACAGCTGTGTCCTATGGCTCCACGAGGACCCGGGCTGAGGGAGGCTGGCAGGTGGGGAGCACTGGCTTCGATCCTCAGCACCACATAAAAATAAATAAATAAACAAAAAATAAAGGTAAAAGAGTTTAAAAAAGAAAAAGACAGGATCTCAGGCACTGGAACCTGGGACCCGGTGCCCCTAGCAGCAAGGCAGGCCACCAGCCTTCAAAGGTCAGCGACCACTGCCCAGCACACACACGGCCCTGGGCTCATCCCCAGAAATGCAAAAAATTTAAAAACGGGGGAAAAAAATTAAATGAAGGGGCTAGGGCTGTGGCTCAGCAGTAGAGCATTTGCCTAGCACCTGCGAGGTGCTTGGTTCGATCCTCAGCACCACATAAAAATAAAGGTACTGTGTCCAACTATAGCTAAAAAAAAAAAAAGAAAAAAGAAAAAAAAATTATATGAAAATAATAAGAAAAGTAAAACGAAGTTTAGTAGAACTCACTGCAAAATGCTCTGAATTTCCTTTGTGTGTGGAAGTCCCCAGCACAAACCTGAACAGAGAAAAGAGCAAATGGCACTGCAAGGTCCTCAGCCCCCACCTCACACTGAAACCTCATGCTGCTGGCCAGGTGGCCCCAGATTCCACTCTAAGTCCTGCCCTTTAGGACTGCGCTGACCTGGTGGAGTTGGTCCTACACAAGCACAAGACAGCTACGGTTCAGGCTCCAGGCTATCTCCTGTTACGATTGCGCTGTAACAAACGCAAAAGTCTCAGTGGCACAAAACAAACCCAAACGCCTCCGTGTGAAGGTAGTACCCCCAGACCGATGCCCCGAACTGCAGAGCCTTCGGAATTCCAGCTTTCAAGAAGGCAGAGGGGCCCGAGAGCACAGAGCCCCAGGTACGTTGCCCAGGGCCTGGCTGACTGCTGGATGGCAGGAAGGGAGGTCACAGGTACCCTGGGTCCAAAGAGCAAAGCCCCAGGATGTCCTCCCTGGGTCATTCTCCAAAGAGTCTCCTCCTCAGGCAGAGCTCTGGGGTTCCCTGACAGCAGACGGCTGAGCTGGGAAACTGACCCCAGGCTGCAAGGTCCTCCCAGGCACCCGCTCAGCGCGAGCACAGAGTGAGCTGTGGCTCTCTGCAGCGGCAGCTGGTTGCCAGTGGGTACCATCTCCATGGCGAGAAGCAAAGGGGAAAGGTCACAGTTCACCCCAAATGGGAGCGTGGAGCATAAGCTCTGGGCTTGCCTCCCAGCTTTCCTGTGGCCCGGCTCCCGTCTGTGACGTGGGATGACAGCCTCCTCAGGGACTGCGGCTAGAAACAATGTGTGGTCAGGGTGCCAGGCGATGAGAAAGGTCCCGGAGTGGCACCTGGAACCTGGGACCCCGCCTGGCTCGAGCAGCAAGCCAGCCCCCGACCAAAGCTCCCTGCTCTGCCACAGGAAAGGCGTCCCAAGGTCTGACCTAAGTGAAGCCTGTCACTTTAGACTTCCAAAGAGGCAGAGAAAAACCCAAACACAAGTGGACACAGAGAAGACGGGGCGGAGGCCGTCAGCAGTGAGCTGCAGCCGAGAGCAGCGAGGTAGACCGCGAGGGTGACTCAGGATGCCAGGTTCTGCCGGCCAGGACCTGGGGCTGCAGGGGGGGATGCTGTGGAGTCCAGCGGCTCCGAGCACTTCTGTGGAGGGACACGAGGGCCTCATCAAGATCAGCCTCCAGCTCCTGCCCTGCCACAGCTGCTGTCGGGACTGGCTTGTTCCCATGGTCCCTGCCTTTCGGCACCAAAGTATCAACACAGCAGCCATATTTTGAAACCATATATGTTGTTTTTTTTTTTTCAGTTGTAGATGGACACAAGGCTTTTATTTTACTTATTTCTTTATTTGTTTATAGTGGTGCTGAAGACGGAACCCAGTGCCTAACACCTCTGCCACTGAGCCACACCCCAGCACGAAAACTATGTATCTTTTAAAAACCCAACTGCAGTGCAGAAGCAGCCACCCTCCGACCCCAGGCCGCGGCGTGGGCTCCCAGGCTGCACTGCCGGCGGGCAGAGGCGGCGCTCCAGGTGGCCCGTGTCCTGGGAGATGCGCAGGAGAAGGCAGAGCCAGTGCAGCTGCTCCCGTGCTGGCTGCCCAGGTGACTCTCCATGCCCGCTCTGGAGTGCCACTCCATCACCAGGATGAGGAGCCACAGGAGACTCTCGGCCAAGGGTCACAGTCTCTCAGGAGGACAGCAACTCAGACGACTGTGAGCAAAGGGCTAGGACGTGGCCCAGGGGCACAGCAGCTGCCTAGCACGCGCACGATGCTGCGTTTCCCCAGCACCACAGGAAAGTGAGCGAAAGGCAAAACTACACCACGCAGCTGCACAGGACTCCAAGGACAGGGTCCCCCCGCCTCACAGTGCTGCCACAGGCCACTGCCCACGCCCCATGATGCACTCACACTACAGAACACGGGCAGCTGCCAAGGAGCTGCTTCTCCCCTGAGCTGACCAGGCCGAGTCCAAGGCAGAACAGCTCCATGACCAGGTGGGCACAGGGCTCTGTGGAAACGCACACTTACCACGCTGCTGTGAGATGAGACCCAGGGACCAAGAAAGCAGAGAAGGAAGTGCGCAGCCTGCCCCCCACAGCTTGCCATGCACAGGAGACAAACATGTTTACAAACGGCAAGGGGGACCCTGCCGGTCACAGCAGGGCCACAGGACACAGGACCCAATCAGGACACGCCTCCTCATCTCCCCTGGCAGTTCTGCTCAGACCCCGGGGACCATCTATGGACCTGCCTGGTCCCAGGAAGCGCCTTCTCTCTCTCGGGCATCTGTGCTACCCACGGCCAGTCCGATCTACAACAGCGTGGCTCTGTGGCTCTCTGAGGGCTGCAGAAGTCACACACTCAGCCACAAGGACCAAGAGCCTCCTGTGAAACGCCCCCACAACAGCCCCACCAGCTACCGAGCTTCATGCCCTGGGCTACGCTGCCACACCAGGGGCCATGGGGCACAGGTGCCCAGAAGCACCAAGTCCAGGCAGGGGGAGGACTTGGCATGGCAGGAGGTGGCAGGGCACCACACTCTAGGCCACTCAGGGACAGCACTGCTCCAGAACCCAAGGCTTCCTCTGGGCTGGAGGGAGCTGGGTCCCCTCGTTTCCTCTTAATAAGCACAGCAGTGTGCGAAAGCATGCTCAGTGTCACCTGCAGAATCAGAGACTGCTCCCTGACTGGGCCCGCAGAGGGCACCAGCCAAAGGCCGGAGAGACGCATCACCACCCAGCGCCCGCGCCTGTGCCCGCAGGAGCCCAGGTGACCCACCTTTGCCGTGCTTCCCCACAGGCCTCTTGGGCAGCGCCTCCTCCGTGGAATGTGCTGAGGTGTGCAGCGCCTTCTCCAGGCTGTTGCCGACGCCATGCAGCGGGGCCTCCGGTCGCGGAGCCATCTGGGGAAAGAGACACGGCCATCTTACTTTCTCCATTTAGCTAACCTGGAGTGACCTTCATGCCTCCGGCCTTGGTTTCAATTTTTTAATAAAACAGGAACCACTACTGTAAGGATAAATACTTCCCAAGAAAGACAGAACTTCCACCTCTCCATTCCTCTCCACCAGAACTGAACAGCCCAACCACAGGGGCTTGTCCTGGGCCGCGGTTCGCCTGACAAGACAGAATCCCACAGCCCAGGGGCATGAGTGGTAAACCTCCAGCCGAAGCAAAACCTTATTTTCATATTTCTTCAAACAAAACCCTTCCCTAGAACACAAATGACAACAGGACCGGACACTATCCGCTACAAACCTTGAATGACATAAGATGTCTAAAGGCAGGGAGAGAGCAGCACCCCGCGGAGCTGGCTGGGCAGCGCGAGCAGCCATCTCCAGTCTCAAGGGCTGGTGAACCAAGAGCCCTGGGGAGACCCGTCGAGACCCAGTGTCTACACTGAGCATCTGCAAATAGCCTCGGCCCCTACAGACAGACCCAAAGACACAGCTGCAGGGGCCCGACTGGAAAAGCCGCACATCCCAGGCCAGGCGAGTTTTAACTTCGTGGAACTCCGTAAAACAAATCCCAGGCACACAGCCTCCTCCAGAGAGCCGTGGATAACACCGCAAGGCATTATCAAGAAAGTCAAATTTTTTAACACTTTGATAATTCTTTTTATACTTTCATAAGCTTACTTTTGCAGATATAAAATGAGAGACTTCCATTTGATCTTTGGAGTCTTTTATTCCATTGAACATCACTACAGATTTTTCACTTCATAGCACAAATTTGAGAAAACATCAAGAACCTAGCAGTCTGAGATGTCTAAGAACCAAGTGTCAGTAGGTTAAATGACACTGAAGTAGGTGTCAAGTTCCAACATCTAATGTGACGTGAAGGGTTTTTTACATATAAAGCATATTTTTCTGATTCAAATACACAAATGTAAAAATCAAGTGTTTAGGTTTACTTGATAGAAGTAAATTCTTTGGGTTCACTAGATAGAAATTTCTGTAAGTTCTTTTGTGCTGCGGAATGTGACCTCACTGTACACTGAAACACAGGACTTCACAAGTTTAGATGCTTTAAGTAGAATAATCAACTGTGGAGGAAAACAAAAGTAAGTTACATTTTACTGACCTCTAGTGACTTGACAGGGCGGGCTCCTCCAGTTCAGAAGACACCCCTCAGCCAACGCCTGAGCATTCCAGAGGTGAACCCTTCCCAGCAACCAAGACAACCCAGCAAGCAGAGGCGGGGCACGAGTCCACCCCAGGAGAAGCCAGCTCATTCCCAACAGGAAACACGGGCCTGGGGCAGCACGGAAGAGACCTGAACTCTACTGCAGCCAACTGGGTCCCCTGGCTGCTGGCTCTCCACCTGCAGGCTCTGCTACCCACTTGGTGTGGAGCCCCAACACCTGGTCCCAAGAACGGAGACAATGGGGCCAGTGTGGCTGGCCAGCAGAGAAGCACCTGCCCAGACAGGAGTGCAACTGATCCCGACCCCAGGCCTGAGCAGTGGCCTTCAACCCTACTGTGCACTGAGCCCTGAGGTATGGGGACGCAACCAGGCAGGAGCTCTGGGAGGGCCTTCTGTGCTCTGTGCGCAGTGCCAACCGATCGTCAGGGTGACCCAGGCACAGGCTTCACATGGGGACAGCACTGCTTGCCCACAGGGACGGCAGGAAGTGCTCCCCGAGGATCAACAGGAAGGCCCAAGGCTGGTCCCCGCCACAGCCCGGAGCCTGGGGAAGCTGCAAGCTGCCCAGTCAGACCATACGCTTCCCTCTGGTGCGAGGAAAAAAAGGAAACACTGCAAAACCACAGCCACAGGACGCCACGCGTGTCCTCCTCAGCATTTCCCAAAAGCACTCCTTCTCAGCTTTGCAGACGTCCATTCTTTCCAACGGCCTTCGTCTTTCTCTGCTCCTTTGTTTACATTAAAAGCTGCCTTCACTTGCGATTCCCAGAAATGCTGTTTTGGGTTATTTTTGGTCAGGCTCATTTGCCCACGTGACCCACGCAGCTCAACTCAGATGCTCTCTGACTCACGCTCGCCCACACGCCCGTCGGCAGCTGGAGGTGCAGGAGACGGGCCTGACGGGTCCCAGCACTGCCTTCCGTTCCTGCCCAGAGGCCAACAGACCCAACTCCCCCTGGCCAGACGTCCCCCAGCTCCAGATTCTCTGGATAAGTCTCCTGCTTTGTTTCCAAGGGAATGACGACACGTGGCCCTGTACCGCTGCCAACCCTCCTTCTCCAGGGCTCGCCCCGCCACGGCCCACTGAGGTCCTGCTGCCTGCCCCTGCAGCCTGGCCCACGGATCACCTTCTTCCCAAAGAGGACGCTGTGTCCCACCTGCCGGGGCCTCTGCACTAGCTGTTCCCTGCCCTCCCGTCCAAACGCACTGGTCACTGTGGCACAGAACTTCCTGGGGTCCAGCAGGGGCAGGGGTCTGTGGCGTCTCGTTTTGCTCACCGCAGGATCCCCTGAACTGAGAACAGGCCTGCCAGGAAGCAGGTGCCAATCTTTCTGTAAAATACATACCATCCAATTTGATCAGGGTAAATAAAGAAGCACCTCCACTTCAAAGTCAAGTTTTCATAATCTCCATCCTGGTCCCCCAACACAGGCGGGTCTGCCGCGGAGCAGCCACCAGGTACGCAGGGCACATTCCACCTGTGGTTCCAGGGCTGCCACACACCTGTGGTGCCCTGTGGGATGCGGTCTAGACACCTGGGCTCCGCAGCTCCCCTGTCGTCACAGCTGTGGAGATGAGCGGCTGCCCCCAACCTCTAGGTGCAGAGTGCCCTTGGGGGGTGGTGAGGCACGGGCTCCAAGCTGGGTCTGGGGGGTTGCAGTTCTGCATCTCCAATTATTCCAGGTGATGCGAACCTTGCAAGAGCATCTCAAGGTAAACTAGAGCGTGGTGGCCACACAGACACTCAGAGCTGGACCATACTGCCTGTGCCCAGTGCCCTGGGCAGGATCCTGGGGTCATGCGTCACCCTTAGACTTAACACCTTCTGGAATGCTGGCGACACACCATGGGAAGAGAACACTACGTGAATTTCATCAAAGCTTTGTGTTTAAAATTCACTTTAATATTTGTGAACCAAAAGCACAATTTGTAGAAATTTAATTTTTAGCAGTCCATTTCATTTATAAATAGAACATGCTAACAGACACTGGCCACGAAAGACAGGATGACCAGGGCTGGGGCCTCCAAAGCTGGCTGTCCTCCACCAGCAGGCATCCAGAGGCCCCTGGAAGACGGCCACCGGCTGCCAGAGCAAGGGTCTCAGCCTCCTACTGTGCTGGCCACCCAGCGGCCATCCAAGGACATCTACTGACCCTTCCCCACAAATACATTCAGATGCATGATATGCGGATTGCAAGCCCAGGCAGTGAGGCTGGGGACAGTTGCCTGAGCTCCTCCACCACTGAGAGCAAGTCCACGGTCACCTCCAAGGAGCACTGGGCGATGCCTCACTCCACAGTGACCCCAGATGCCTGTGATCCCACTGTGACAGGCCACGGCACTGCTGGGACTGCTGTGGGTCTCTGTCTGCTTTCATAATTGCAGGAAATGCTGGATTCCAGTTACAGGCTAGAGAAAACACAACTGTGGCCAGTCCCCACCCCCACAGCCAGGGCCCTGCTCAGGGGCAGGGAAGCTGGCTGGGTCATGTCCTTCCAAGCTCCAGGGGTCACAGCAGGTTGGCCTAGTTTGGAAACAGTCTCCGAGTGCTGCGGGCACATCTCCCGTCAGGGCAGGCTGCTGTAGGACACCCTCAGCAGGTGTCCTACCTACCATGGGAGCCTTCCTGGCCCAAGCCCTGGCCATTCCCCTCCCCAGGAGCACTGGACACTGAGCCAGACACAAGCATGTCACAGGGGAGTCCTGATAGGAACATCCCTGCCGTCCCTAGGGTCCAGGATCTTTTCAGCTAAAGACATGCATGTGGATTCTTCCGGTTCTTCTGATGCCTGTGAACAGCTCTCTACCACCAACTGCAGCGGTTCAAAACTCGATGTGATGTGATTCTCATAACTCCTCCTGTTTCCTTTGTGGTTGTTTGGGCTTTGTTTTGTTTTGTTTTGCAGTTCTTGGAACTGAACGAGGGGTGCTCCCAGAGCTACATCCCAGCCCCTGTTGTATTCCGAGACAAGGTCTCAGTTGCCCAGACGGGCCTTAAACTTGGAATCATGTTTTTATCCTTTCAAGCAAGAAGTCTGATGTTCCATTATTCTCTAGGCCAGAGTTTTCAACTGGCAGCAGCTTTGTCCCTGAGGGGACATCTGTAGACACCTGGGTGGTCTTAACTGGAGATGGGTATTCTACCGACATCCGCAGAGGCCAGGGACACTGCCAGCCTCCCAGGAAGCCCTGTGCATGAAGAGGGCAGAAGCCCTCCCCTGGGGCCAAAGCAGCCTCCGCTGTCCCAACCGCAGCCAAGTCCAGCCCAAGCGTCCACAGGCAAGTCTGTCCCCACTGTGTCATGCCCAGGCAGCCCTCACACCGAGCACAGTGCCATCCATCTGAAACGCAGCAGCGTGCCTGCCCACTGAGTTCTTGAAGACGGACCTCAACACGGACCCTTTGTGGTCTGCCAACTGTGCCTGAAAGGGGATGGGCGGGCAGGGAGGCAGAGGGTGGGCGGGCAGGCAGCAGGGCAAAAAATGCATGAAAGTGGCACAGAGAAGTTCACGCAAACCCTGGCAAAGCAGCAGCCACTCTTGGCCGGCAAACCTGGCTGTGCTGCGCGGTGGGACAAAGCGCTGAAGGGATGGGCGCAGCACACAGGCCACCCTGTCCGCAGGACACAGGCTCTCCATGGGAACTGCCACCACACCACCCGGAACATCAACACAGGGACCAGCTGCAAAGAGCCAGATGCCATCCTCACACTCCCAGGGACATCTGCGCAAGGTCACTGAGACAGCACCGTCCTACTGTGGGACAGGAGGACAGGTGCCATCGTGCGACTGGTCCCACACAATGACACCCGCACGCTGGACACAACCAGTTGTGAAGGGGGGAGACAGGCGGGCCCAGCTGAAGGGACGGGGAAGACCCAGATTCCAAGCAGCTGCACACCGCGGGCCCGAGTGTAGGACACTGCCGGGCCACAGAGGAGCGTCACTGAGAAGCCCCATGGGGCAAGGACGCTGCACAAGCTCCTGCCTGCTGTGCGGGAGTCCACGCAGCCCGAGCAGCAGCTGCTCTGCACACAGGTCACGTCATCCCCACGTGAGAAGGAGGAACACCAAACCCAGCTCCTCGCCTCACCAAGGCTGCGTGGCCAACGCTGGGGACTGCCCCCTTGGTGGCACAGCAGAATACACCCCAGGGCCTGCATGGCAGGGGGCAGGGCCGCTGGCATGCTGAGGTGCTGATGGGAGCCTTCCTCACACACACCTCACGTTCCCCTCTGAGCCCAGGTGTGGCAGTGCCTACCTCACAGGCTTCTGGGAGGATGAACCGTACGCGCTGCGGGGCCTGCTGACTGGAGAGCAGCCGCACGCCTGCCTGCTGCGCTCAGCTCAGGAGCACCCTGCGGGCAGCACACACAGGGTCTCCCGGTGAGGCCCACCACAGCCCGCAGGCTCTCCTGGGTGCTGGACCTCTGCCTCTGGCCAGGCAGCAGATTCCTAGCTCTCCAGCCTCCCACCTGTTCTTGCGTGGCCCAGGGGCTTCAGCAGGGCATCAAACAGCCACCCAGGGTCCCATGTTCCCATAACGGGATGCAGAGGTCTCTCTTCCTCCAGGCAAACCTACTTAAATACAGCCTGGCTCTACCAACAGGGTGCAGTGGCACAGCCTGCCATCCCAGCAACTTGGGAGGCAAGGCGGAGGATCTCGAGGTCAAAGTGAGCCTCAGCAACTTAGTGAGGTGTAAGTAACTCAGCAAGACTCTGTTCTCTAAGTAAAATATAAAAGGGGCTGAGGATGCAGCTCAGAGATTAAGCAACCCTGGGTTCAATCTCTGATACATAAAAAACTTAAATCATTTTTAAAAAAAATAAAAAAGAGCCTATACCACGACAGATGCATGTCTGCGCCAAGACCAGCGACAGGTGGAAACCCGCTGCCCAGCCTGCAGTCCAAGTTGGGCTCGGCACACGGGCAGCGGTCTCACCCTCTCAGCAGGCAGGCGTGATGCCACCCACAGCAGACGCAGCTGGCAGCACAGACGTCACTGCCATGTGCCCACCTGACCCCACTGAGGAACCTGTGGCACAGGCTGTGTGCAAGGAGACCCAGAGAGCCTGGCTGAGGGCGGCACCTGCGCAGGCGTGTTAACCTCCCTGCCCTCAGAACGCCTCTCCAGTGTCCCAGGAGAGACTCCAGAACAGCCCGGCCGTTCCCAGGTGAGGCAGAGGAGGGGAGCACCGGGAAGAGGAAGAGACAAGAAGGAGCCAAAATGTCAACAGCACCACCCTCCCAGTGATTCTCGCTTTGTATTTTTCTGTTTTCCAACCTTTCTACAAACAACAGTCACTCCTTTTTATAACTGGGGAAAAGCCTGCGATTAAGTCACACGGGCATTTCTGAAATGGGAGCCCATCCGCCACTCGGCCCTCGCTGCTCTTACCAGGCTGCAAGCTGTGTCTGTGTTGGGGGGTGCTGAGGGGAGCCGGGGCTGGGGCCACCTGCCAGCCGGTCACATACTACAACCCGCATGCCAGGTCTCCCAGCCCGTGCAACCGGAGTAGCACCTGCTACACACACCTAAGTCGATGCGAAAAAAGAAATAAACAAGCAGAAAAGTGACATGTAAGCACTTTACTAAAATAGTCATTATGTGTCTCTAAGAACCTGAACAAGGAAACAACTTAAAAGTGAAAGCTGCTTGCGGTCACAGGCCAACCCAGAGCCGAGGCTGCCCAAATCAGACTGTCCACCTAAAGACCTGCCTTTTACGACGTCTGCAGCTCTCAGCTCTCCTCGTTTCAGACAGCAGGACGAGGGGGGCGGGTGCCAGGCACACCGCAGCCCTGCTGGTGCAGGGGGATCCGACCCCCGCTGCCCCCATCAAGCCCTGTGGCCACAGCTCCAGGACACCCCTCCAGAGCCTCTGCAGGAGCCGAGGCAGCAGCACCCCGCGTCTGGGCCCTGCCACACTTGGGAACTCTGCCTGGGGCCAACCCGTGTCCCAAATTCTCCACCTCAGTAGGACAATGGGACACATCTTCCAGACCAGCCACCCCAGGACTGAAGAATGGGCCTGCAGAGCACCCTCAGCAGAGGCCTGGGCACAGCACTTGCATGCAACCACAGCAAGTAACCGCCCTCTCCATACCCGTGTGTCCACATCTGCAGCACAGCGGGCTATAGCAGCTGGCACAGGGCGTGGCCCCAAGGTACAGGACCTGTCACATGGAACCTGCTCCATCCACTGCTACACAACTCCAGGCAGGGACACCACAAGGACAGAGGCAGGCAGGAAAGGCCTCTGCCCAGAGCACCAGGGTCATCCACTCGCCACTCCAGGGCCTGTGTTTTCTACTCCCAGTCAGGAGCAGGGTCAGAGGAAAGCGGCACCACAGCTGGAGAAAGCCCAGGCGCTGCCGTGAGGCGCCACAGGACACGCAGGGGACACACAGGACACGCTACAGGCCAGCGTATGGGAATAAGCTGAGGGACACTGTGACACTGAAGTGGCCCAGGAGAAGCTGGGGGGAACCACGCGCCTCCCAGAACAGCTGTGGCTGGGTGGCTGCCATTCCCGGGCACTGCACCTGCAGTGGGCACTCCCTGCCGGCACATCCAAGACCATGACACTGGGACAGACAAAGCACGGACTGTCACTGCACTCATGTGGCCAGCGCGTCCCCCCTTCTCCTTCCTTTCCCTGGCTGTCTGCCCCCTCTCTGAGATGGGGTCCCGCTGTGCTGCCCAGGTTGGTCCCAAACTCCCAGGCTCACACAATCCTCCTCCTCAGTGTCCTAAGTAGCTGGACTTTGGGCACATGCCACCGCACCCAGCGCAGAAGTACGTTCAAATACTGGGGTTTTCCTGGAGAAACTGGCTGAACCACAGTAAATAAACCACGCATAATGACCCTTTTTGGTTTCCAGTACCAGACTGGACTACCTGAGAAGGACCATTCAAGCAGCCAGCTCACTAAAGCGTGAGCTTATGGCCTCTGGGGACAGTCCCTCTGGGCAAAACGACACCCTGCAGGTTCCTAGGACCAGCAAAGATGGTCCATGCCCAGAGTGACCAGCAATCCTGCCCAGGGTCAGACCAGCCCCCTGGCGCTCTGCCACACAGGCAGAGATCAGGAAAGGGGGGGGGGGGCTCCAACGATGCCTCAGAAAAGACAGGCAGGTCACCTGTGATGAGAGCGTTACCCCCACAGGCAAATGGCACCTGTCCTCCCTCCTCCCACAGGTTCACCCACATGGCTACCTCTCCTCACCACCGAGCACCACGAGGGGTCAGAGATCTACAGAACAAGCTCATCCACATTCTCCAAATGGACCCTCTGACTCGGAGGCAGGAACCTCGCCGCCTCTCTGCAGCTCCCTCCCCTTACGAAAGCCCCTCCAGGAGGGGAGCAGCCCCTTCCTCAGGGAGAGCTGGGCCCTCCGAGAGCACAGGGGCGTGTTCAGCACCGCCTGCGGGCCACAGAGCAGCTGGCCCCACCACGGTGCTGACCCATCCCAGACGTCCACAGCAAACCCAGCGGGCCGAGAGCAAGCGCAGCTTAAAGTGGACAGGCACGAGCACCCGGCAGGCTTCCTGGTCTGCAGGCTGCGCCCAGTGTCCATCAGAGGAACAGCTGGAGGGCCAGGAAGCCCAGGGGCTCAGGCAGCACAGTGAGGCCTCCCTCCCTGCTGGGAGGGACACCCAGGTCTGCCTGTGAGCCGACAAGGACAGCATGGACATTGCCAGCTGTCCAGCAACACCACCGGGAAGGACTGCAGACCAGCCCGCCAGTCCCACCCCCGAGGCCAGCAGGAGGAGAGCAAGGCCCCAGTGCCCACCACACGTGGCTCCCAGATCCACGACACAAATCACACTTCCCAGACACACCAACAAACAAAGGCGCGACCCACAAGGAGGAGGGCTGCTGAGCTGCAGCAGAACGCAACAGGCTTTCCGGGCTTTACGATGGAGACTTCACAACTAGGAAATGCTCTGTTCAACCGAGAACCACTGATGCGCTGAACGCAGTCTGGTGGAAACACAAACCCAGCAAACCCGGAGATGGATCAAAGGAGCCAATCTGAAGGACAGCGAGAGGCCTGGAGAGGACGATCAGGGCCTGGGACCCACAGGCCGTGTCTGCAGCGCACACCTTCACCACAGCCCGGGGACACCCAGCACAAGCCAGCCAGGGCTCGGGCCCCAGGTTCAGAGACACCCAGACACCTCCAGGGACACCTGGACACAGCACAGTCAAGCTCTCACATGCCCAAGGCAGACAGACAACCTAAGTCTGACCCAAGACAGCGACAATGACACAGGGACAATAAGATGCCCTGGGTCCAAGGCCGGCTACGGCCACACAGCTGTTTGAAAGAGCTACAAGAACACATCACCAACCCCAATCCTGCACCCGTGACAACACTCCCCAACAGCAGGGCACAAGCAGACCATGTCCTGACCCAGGAATCCCCCCAGCCCACGGGAACGGCAGGGAAGGCTCAGGACGAAGGGTGTGGTGGCAGGCCCTCCAGGGAGAAGACAGGGCGGGGTGACAGTGGGGGCCGCACTCTCCTCACGACTCGGGAAGCAGGCGGTGGGCCAGCACAGGTGAAATCCAGCCCACCCTCAGAAGGGCCTGGAGGCAGGACCAGGTCAGCCTCAGGCCAGCAGTGAAGGCTGCAGAGAGGGAAGATGGGATTCTGTGGTCCACTAAAGGAAGCGTCTGGAGCGAGCCACGGAAGCAGCACAGGAGGAGGGGCCTGATGGGTGAAGGCGGGACTGAATGGGGAATGGGAGGACTTTCTGTCACAAAGGTCCACACACTTGTCAAAACACAAATGACCCATCTAAAACAAGCACATTTCCCTAAACCTAACTTTTACTTTAAATGAGACAACTGCAGAACACTGGAGCCCGGGGTAAGAAGCAGCCAGGGCCTGGTGGCCAGCGGCCACACCCTCCTCCACCTCCCAGGGAACTGGTGCCCTCCCCTCCCCTGCCTCGAGACGCCCCTCTCACCCCACCATGAGGTGACGTATGTGGGTACCTATGCAATCTGTCTTCACATAAAGAAAAAAGCCACTTAGCAACACCATCTTTGCTTAACTGTGTCCCCTCACTCACTGCTGAAATGAGACAGGATAAATCTGAGCCACCAACAGGCCAAGCATGCGGATGTGCTTGTGGGCAGCATCCTGTCCCTGCCTGCCTCATGCTCTCCCAAGTGAGAGCCTCCCAGGCCCCACACCCAGGTGCTGCGAGTGTGGGGCCAGCAGCTGCCTCCACACCAGCATCAGGAGGACAGATGCCACACAGGGCGCCCGGCACCTTCCCCTCTGCACCCCAAGGGCTTGCCGAGAGCTGCCCACGGGGCCATCGCGACTCCCATGCCTGCACGTTCTATGCAGATGCCCAGGGACTGAGGAGGGGCTGTTTTTCCCCTCCCCAACAGCTCAACCCTTCCAGACCGTGGTTCCCGAGGGTCTGGGTCTTAGATTCACCGTGAGTCGGGAAGGCACCTGCAGACAGGAATTCTCTAGTAACTCTGTTGACATCTTTATGTAAACATCCCTAATATCAGGCAAGGACTCTCCCTTCTCATCTGTGAACCCAGATGTTGCTACGGAACAGCAGGACAGTCGCTGCACAAAGACAGAGACAGACCAAGTGTCGGCCACAGCGTCCAGCCCTCCTCCTGCTGCAGTGCCTGACATCAAGGCAGAGGCCAGAAAACGGGGACCACTAGGTCGTGGGACTGGGAGAGTCACGGTCTGGCTCACGACAGAGGAGCACACCTGCTCCCATAGCACATGGACCCAGGGCAAGGACCAGTGGAACAGGCAGAGGTGAGCATCTGCAAAGGCTCAGGCCAGAAAGAGGAGCGGGAACAGCAGGAACTGCAGGCGAGGGCAGGGGTGCAGAGGCCTGCACAGCACATCTCACCAGACCACTACAGGGGTTCCAGGGACGTAGTGAGGGTGGGAGTAGGGCCAGGGCACAAAGGCCAAACCCAGGACAAGGTCAGAAGCTGGGCATGTCACTGTCATTTCTAAAACAAGTTAAGGCACCAAAGTTCTGGGGTAATTTGATTAAAAAAATCAAATAGAGCAGCTACAAAGTTGTTCCTTACAGAATTTATCACTGACACGAACTCAGTTCTAACAGGGATGTGACCCTGGCTTGCATTCCAACGTGTGCTTGACCCGGGACAGCAGTTACACTGGGCTGGGGTCATGCCTGCTCCCTGAACGCTATTTTAATCCATGCCCGGACTCCCTGGCAGAATGCCCCAAGGCCAAGTGTGCCTACAAGAAGCGTGCCATACATGTGACTGTCACACAAGTGTGGATGGGAGCGAAGGCAGGGGGAGGAGCCAGGTCTGCGGATCTGAGCGCACGGCTGAGGCCAGGACGTGCGGTCAGAAGGACACACCTGTGAGCAATGCGGGACTCGGGCCCACTCCAGGTGGGAGACTTGGCTCTGCGAGTGGGGAGCGGGGAGAGCGGGCTGAGGGCGCTGGCCTTGCCCAGCCTCAGCCACCTGAGGCCTCCTGGGAGCTCGTTCTGGCTGGTAACATGGGTTTGTTTTTTTCTTTTCTTTTTTTAATCAAGCCACATCCCAACCAGGGGATGAGAGACAGGGTCTCGCTGAGCTGCTTAGGGCCTCACTAAGTGGCTGAAACTGCCTTTGAGCTCACGGTCGTCCTGCCTCAGGCTCCGTGTCACTAGGATCACAGGTGTGTGCCACTGCACCCAGCTACGTGGACGGTTTTAATTCATCTATGAGACTGGCAAAAATCACAGCTGAAAACATCACTGATTACAGAGCAAAGAGGAAGAGAGGGAAGAAGTGTGAGGAACACTACTGTCCATCCACAGTACAGGAAAGCAAACTGGACCCAGGGACAAGAGTCCAGGGACGCTGGAGAAAGCCAGCCACCACCAGGAGCCACCTGCAGCCACACTGATGCAGAACAAAACCCAAAAGCCTCCGCAGAGACTCCAGTGTATAGCAAGTCCAAGAGAGGAAGGGACCAGAAGCATCCGTGACCTGACCAGTCAGAGTCCAGAACACTGAAGACAGGCACCATGACAGGAGGCAGCCCCAGCCCTGGGGGGAGAAGAGGGCGCTTGACAGATGGCACAGGGCACAGGGCCGGTCACCCGGCAGAAAACATCAACCTAGCTTTGCACCTCACAACAAGCTACCTCCAGCCGGATCCGTTTCATGTGCAAAAAGGCGGCAGGCAAGGCTGGAGCACGAGACCCACAGGAGGTGCCTTCGCAAGCGAGCTGGTGATGCACGGCAACTCACGCACACACGGAGCAACAAGTATCCCACATGAAAACCACAACATGTGACGAATGCCACTCCTGCCGGAAGCCCAGAAGTCACACAACGAAGACTGGTACGCACAACCTTAAAAACCGCATGTCAGGGGCTGGGGCTCAATGTGAGGCCCTGGGTTCGATCCTCAGCACCACATAAAAATAAATAAAGGCCTAGAGACAACTAAAAATATTAAAAAATAAACTGCATGTCA